TTTTCCTATTTTTATGCCTTTAATTTCTTTCGTCTAATTGCTCTGGCCAGTGTTTCGAGAACTATATTGAATAGAAGTGGTGATAGAGGGCATCCCTGTCTTGTTCCAGATTTTAGAGGGAATACCTTCAATTTTTCTCCATTCAGAATGATGCTAGCCTGAGACTTAGCATAGATAGCTTTTACAATGTCGAGGAAAGTTCCTGTTATCCCTAGTTTTTCTAATGTTTTGAACATAAAGGGATGCTGTACTTTGTCGAATGCTTTTTCTGCGTCTGTCGAGGTGATCATATGGTTCTTATCTTTAAGTCTATTGATTTGGTGAATAACATTTATTGATTTCCGTATATTGAACCATCCTTGCATCCCAGGGATGAATCCTACTTGATCATGGTGCACAATTTTTAAAATACTTTTTTTAGTTGTAAATGGACCTTTATTTTATTTTTTTAGATGCAGTGCTGAGAATTGAACCCAGAAGATTCTTTGTGAAAACAAAATCAAAATACCATTATCGCACCTTCAAAATGAAATCATCAGTATCCAGTCAGGGTTCACATTTCTCTGAATATGATAGAAGCCAATTCACAGCTTGTTGATCACATCAGGTTTCAAGAAAAATCTGTTTATAGGGCCAGGGCTGTAGCTCAGTGGTAGAGCACTTGCCTAGTATATGTGAGGCACTGGGTTCAATCCTCAGCACCACATTAAAAAAAAAAAAAAAAAAATAAGTAAAAGCATGCTGTCCATCTACAACTACCAAAAAAAAAGTGTTTAAAAAATCTATTTATAGCCATTCATTAATGTGTTGCTTAATTTTCTTATAATCTATTCTCACACCTTCCCACTCTATTTTTTCTTGTAACTTTTTCTCTTTTCTTTTTTTTGGTACTGGGATTGAACTCAGGGACACTTAACCACTGAGCCACATCCCTAGCCCTATTTTGTATTTTATTTAGTCTCCCTGAGTTGCTTATTAGCACATTGCTTATTAGCACCTCGCTTTTGCTGAGGCTGGCATTGAACTCGTGATCCTCCTGCCTCAGCCTCCTGAGCCACCACACCTGGCTCTTGTAGCTTTTTTATTAGAAAAAATGGGTTGTTTATCCTAGAGGTTTTAACAATTCTAATTTTTCTGACTACACCCCATGTTGTTATTAACTAGTTCCATTGTCCCCTGCATTTCATATAAATAGCTAAATTATCTAGAACCTTGATCAAACAACTTTTGTTTTGTAGATTTTTGTTTGTTTTGCTTTATTTACCTCGTATTTTAATTCCTATTCTGCTCCTTGTTAGTCTGTGATTTGAGCAAGTGTCTAAAACTTGCTGAGC